GGGCATTTCTGTGACAGGTACAAATAGTGGAAGCCACATGGATCTCTCCAGGGCACTGAATATTTTGTCATATACTGCGCCTCTGAGTCCTTGGGAAATGCAATCATATTGTCGGTTATCCAGGGACGTGTAGAACTGTCACGCATCAAACACCTATATAGAACTGGTTAGTGAATTAATAGTGCAAGCAAGGGGAATTTCATTACCGAAGGCTATAACATATTGGCCACCGCAAGAAAACAAAATAAAATTGTCTTTTAACCCATTATATCCAAATTTCAGAGGATATTGTTTTGGAAGGGAAGCAGGTCTCTCACCCTTCCGTAATAAGAGTGTGCCAAGGCAGTCTTGGTATACAAAGTGCAATTCAGTAACCCAGGGAAGAAAAAACAGCTTTAGTTTAAGGAATTCAGAAAGGTATCTGCTGACTTTCTGCTATGAATTATTGAGCTCTACACATTGCAAATTGCCTGATCAAATGAATGTGCCTTTTTACTGATAATGTGTAATTCCGTGAATTCGTTAAAGAGTAATAACCATGAAATGTTGAAGCTTTTATGTTTTAAGCAAAAAATAATTTAAGGCCCCTCAACCCCCTGAAAGGTCCAGAGTCCTCAGTCTAATTAACAGTTACACTCCATTAGAACCAAAGCCATGCCTTGTGGACTACTGCAGACGAAGACACAAATATTTTTTCAGTGCTATATGTTTCCTAAGAAAACATTAGATACAGCTGTATCAAATAAACAATCTTTTTATTCATAAAAAACTCATAAAATCATCATGGTGAGTTAAAACATAGTGGACTGCTGGTCGTCCAACAGAAACATCTTATTACTTCATTACATAGAACTACCACAATCTTCAGAAGAATGCTCACTTCTAGCCTATGGAGATTGTCATGATGCCTACCTACAGCATGGTGGCTGTGCATCCAATTGGCAGGTGACTTGCTCAAGCCTATGCAAATACCAACTTATAGAAAGTCAGTATTTGTAGAAAGACGTTTTAAGGGCTGGTCAATTCTAGCACATTAAACATCCTATATTATAACACTGCTTTTGGTATATTGTTAGTTCCCTCTAATATAACAAGAAGCATTAAAAAGGGTATTTTTATTTTCATATGTGGGACAACATATACTGAAACATATGGGGGTCTTGGCAAGAATAACGAAGGTGATATTAAGTTAGCTTCAGTCATACCAGAAAATCTGCAGTACAACAATCAGTATGATAATGCATTGTGTGTGTGGGGTATAATCATACACAAGGTACTTATCCTACCTATGGTGAACTGATTAAAGTTTTTGCAGTGGCTAAAGAACATCAGCACTGGGACAGCTAACTGATTAAACTGGCCATGAATGTAAACCTACTGTGTAGCTTAACACATATTTAGATGAACTGAAATTCAGTAATTTCTGAGCCCCTACTTATCAGTCTACATGAGACCTATATTACTGGCTTTAGAACTCCTTTGGAGCAGGATATATACATGTGTATGTATATAT